CTTTGTGAGGGGTCGTGTTATTTAACTGCCTGAAGATCAACACAGTGAACATGTAACAAAGTTGCTTTTTAACAGTTTATAGTGCAGTGCCTGTTCGGGGCGGGGCACTCCTTGGGGTTGTTACGGTATTCCGCTGTATTTAAATTAGCTTATTGAAAAAAATATAAAATACAAATATAATACACTAAAGTGCTGCTAACATTCAAGCTATCATCTATATCATCAGCTGTATAACATTATAGTTACATGCTATTTTTTTCATCATGTTTATGACTATGTTAGCATTAGCAGCAGCATCCAGAGAGAGATTCCTTGAGAAACTTGGAACTAGGAACTTGAGTAGTGAGATACAAATACTGTTTAAGACCAGCAAAAGGTTTCGCTAAAGGTACAAGCCTCAAGAAATCCTATACTCTTTATTGTTCAAATGTACTGTTCATAGTATTTTGTCTAACTGTGACAAACATCAATGCCGTGCAGACAGAGGAAGTGTTCTGAAACTGAGGGTTTCAAAACGCACAGACAATGTTCAACTGAGAAGACTGTTATCACTCCACCCATCCTGTCTCACACACACACACATACACACACACACCCATACGAACAGACATGTACACATACACATACACTTGGCCAGACACATGCTCACACACGAGCCCCTGCATGGGGGCCCCTTTGGCAGCTGAGACGGGCCTGCCACTCTCACTATTTCCACATATGCTTCCCCATGACTTGAGGCTTTGTGACTTTTTCATGCAGCGGCTATTCCTAGCTGCCATGTGTGAAGTAAGGGGCCGTAAATGAGCATTTTACAGCTTCAAAAGGGCCGATATTGATACTTTGTGCCATTGCTTGGCTAATGTTGTGCCAACAAGCTCGCTCTCAGAGCGCAGAGCACTGCAACTCCTCACTGGAAGCATGGAAACCGATAATAAAGTGATATCTGAATGTTAATAAAAGGCCAATGTCATCTCCTCCAGGTACCAGAGTAATGCGTAGATATTATGAGGTGTCATGTTCTCAGCGCGAGGTGCCGGGGCTCAGTACATAGACGGTGCAGACTGGGCATGTCTAACGCACACCTCGGACGCCTTATTTTAGAAGTGTGACATCCTGTCTATGCTGTGTAATCAGCACCGGATCATAAAGGGGTTGGGGCTTCAACGTGTGGATGTATGCTCACATGTGTTTTTAATGTGTCTTTGAAGTCAGCCCAGCTCTATCATCTGCAGCAACCCTGCTTATCAGGAGAGCATTGTAAAGTTCCCAATGAAAGAGTCTAGGTGTGTGTGTGTGTGTGTGTGTGTGTGTGTGTGTGTGTGTGTGTGTGTGTGTGGTGTGTGTGTGTGTATTTATGCATGTTATTTCTCACGTTTTCATGTCACTCGCCCCCCAAATGACAATGTTTATTCCCAGGCAGGGACACATACATAAAGATATCATGCCCTCTAATGGGATAATTTCAAGTGAATCTAATTAAAGTGAAATTACACCACTCCTACCGTTTGCACTGGATCACCTGAAACCAGCCCAAGGGCCCCTGTGAACCAGTGCCACGGACATCACCAAACCCACCCATCCATCCACCAACCCATCCATCCACCCATCCGCCCATCCATCCATCCACCCATCCATCCACCAACCCATCCATCCATCCATCTATCCATCCATCCATCCGCCCATCCATCCATCCATCTATCCATCCATCCATCCATCCGCCCATCCATCCATCCGCCCATCCATCCATCCATCTATCCATCCATCCATCTACGTCCCTCTCCCCAGCAACACTTTCAAGTTCTTGGGGGACCCCCAAGGCGTTCCCAGGACAGACGAGATGTATAATCTCTCCAGTGTGTTCTAGTTCAAAACCCTAACCCTACCAGTTGGATGTGCCCTAAAACACTCCTAAAGGGATTCGTCCAGGAGTGGCCAGCCACTTTTAGACATCACCAAGCCGCTTTTTAAAATAGGAATTTCCACTGTGGCCGTCTGTTTGCCTAATGTCTCACAGTCCCACTGTTTTTCCCCCTCCATCCCCACTGCTGAGCCCCATGAGCTCAGCTGCCAATTGTTGACCTCCAATGCTCTCCTCCATCCAAGATTACCGGGGCCGGATCTTGCCCTGATGGAAAGCCACGGTGTTGGCAACTGGTAATCCACGAGACGAGGACTGGCACGTGGCACAGAGACTTTGCCCAGAGGCAGCACAGAGTGTGTGTGTGTGTGTGTGTGTGTGTGTGTGTGTGTGTGTGTGTGTG